TTCCTAACTTTCTCTCGCCGAGTCCCTTAGTCGAGGCGACCCTTTAGGCTTTTTCTGTTCTCAGAAACGGTTTAGGGTCAGTGCCCCGTTGTTTCTATATATACTTGCCGAGTCCCTCAGTCGAGGCGACTCCTTTTGGCTTTTTCACGGAAACGACTAAGGGTCTGAGCCCTTGTTTCCTAACTTTCTCTCGCCGAGTCCCTCAGTCCAGGAGACCCTTTAGGCTTTTTCTGTTCTCAGAAATGGTTTAGGGTCAGTGCCCCGTTGTTTCTATATATACTTGCCGAGTCCCTCAGTCAAGGCGACTCCTTTTGGCTTTTTCACGGAAACGACTAAGGGCCTGGGCCCTTGTTTCCTAACTTTCTCTCGCCGAGTCCCTCAGTCGAGGCAACCCTTTAGGCTTTTTCTGTTCTCAGAAACGGTTTAGGGTCAGTGCCCCGTTGTTTCTATATATACTTGCCGAGTCCCTCAGTCGAGGCGACTCCTTTTGGCTTTTTCACGGAAACAACTAAGGGTCTGGGCCCTTGTTTCCTAACTTTCTCTCGCCGAGTCCCTCAGTCGAGGCGACCCTTTAGGCTTTTTCTGTTCTCAGAAACGGTTTAGGGTCAGTGCCCCATTGTTTCTATATATACTTGCCGAGTCCCTCAGTCGAGGCGACTCCTTTTGGCTTTTTCACGGAAACGACTAAGGGTCTGGGCCCTTGTTTCCTAACTTTCTCTCGCCGAGACCCTAAGTCGAGGCGACCCTTTAGGCTTTTTCTGTTCTCAGAAACGGTTTAGGGTCAGTGCCCCGTTGTTTCTATATATACTTGCCGAGTCCCTCAGTCGAGGCGACTCCTTTTGGCTTTTTCACGGAAACGACTAAGGGCCTGGGCCCTTGTTTCCTAACTTTCTCTCGCCGAGTCCCTTAGTCGAGGCGACCCTTTAGGCTTTTTCTGTTCACAGAAACGGTTTAGGGTCAGTGCCCCGTTGTTTCTATATATACTTGCCGAGTCCCTCAGTCGAGGCGACTCCTTTTGGCTTTTTCACGGAAACGACTAAGGGTCTGGGCCCTTGTTTCCTAACTTTCTCTCGCCGAGTCCCTCAGTCGAGGCGACCCTTTAGGCTTTTTCTGTTCTTATAAACGGTTTAGCGTCAGTGCCCCGTTGTTTCTACATATACTTGCCGAGTCCCTCAGTCAAGGCGACTCCTTTTGGCTTTTTCACGGAAACGACTAAGGGCCTGGGCCCTTGTTTCCTAACTTTCTCTCGCCGAGTCCCTCAGTCGAGGCGACCCTTTAGGCTTTTTCTGTTCTCAGAAACGGTTTAGGGTCAGTGCCCCGTTGTTTCTATATATACTTGCCGAGTCCCTCAGTCGAGGCGACTCCTTTTGGCTTTTTCACGGAAACAACTAAGGGTCTGGGCCCTTGTTTCCTAACTTTCTCTCGCCGAGTCCCTCAGTCGAGGCGACCCTTTAGGCTTTTTCTGTTCTCAGAAACGGTTTAGGGTCAGTGCCCCATTGTTTCTATATATACTTGCCGAGTCCCTCAGTCGAGGCGACTCCTTTTGGCTTTTTCACGGAAACGACTAAGGGTCTGGGCCCTTGTTTCCTAACTTTCTCTCGCCGAGTCCCTCAGTCGAGGCAACCCTTTAGGCTTTTTCTGTTCTCAGAAACGGTTTAGGGTCAGTGCCCCGTTGTTTCTATATATACTTGCCGAGTCCCTCAGTCGAGGCGACTCCTTTTGGCTTTTTCACGGAAACGACTAAGGGCCTGGGCCCTTGTTTCCTAACTTTCTCTCGCCGAGTCCCTTAGTCGAGGCGACCCTTTAGGCTTTTTCTGTTCACAGAAACGGTTTAGGGTCAGTGCCCCGTTGTTTCTATATATACTTGCCGAGTCCCTCAGTCGAGGCGACTCCTTTTGGCTTTTTCACGGAAACGACTAAGGGTCTGGGCCCTTGTTTCCTAACTTTCTCTCGCCGAGTCCCTCAGTCGAGGCGACCCTTTAGGCTTTTTCTGTTCTCATAAACGGTTTAGCGTCAGTGCTCCGTTGTTTCTATATATACTTGCCGAGTCCCTCAGTCGAGGCGACTCCTTTTGGCTTCTCCACGGAAACGACTAAGGGTCTGGGCCCTTGTTTCCTAACTTTCTCTCGCCGAGTCCCTCAGTCGAGGCGACCCTTTAGGCTTTTTCTGTTCTCATAAACGGTTTAGGGTCAGTGCCCCGTTGTTTCTATATATACTTGCCGAGTCCCTCAGTAGAGGCGACTCCTTTTGGCTTTTCCACGGAAACGACTAAGGGTTTGGGCCCTTGTTTCCTAACTTTCTCTCGCCGAGTCCCTCAGTCGAGGCGACCGTTTAGGCTTTTTCTGTTCTCAGAAACGGTTTTGGGTCAGTGCCCCGTTGTTTCTATATATACTTGCCGAGTCCCTCAGTCGAGGCGACTCCTTTTGGCTTTTCCACGGAAACGACTAAGGGTCTGGGCCCTTGTTTCCTAACTTTCTCTCGCCGAGTCCCTCAGTCGAGGCGACCCTTTAGGCATTTTCTGTTCTCATAAACGGTTTATTGTCAGTTCCCCATTGTTTCTATATATACTTGCCGAGTCCCTCAGTCGAGGCGACTCCTTTTGGCTTTTTCACGGAAACGACTAAGGGTCTGGGCCCTTGTTTCCTAACTTTCTCTCGCCGAGTCCCTGGGACGATTGGCTGTAACCCATGCACTTTATTCAGATTTCTTGGAATCCTCGCGCTCATACATGACCTATCATTGGCTACTGATAGAACCTTTTCAAATGAGTAGCGTTCCATATACGATCTATAAGCTTGCCTTCCATAGTCTCTAATTTGTAAGTTCCGGCCTGGACTACAGCCGTGATGCGGTACGGCCCTTCCCACTTGACCGCGAGCTTGCCTCCTTCGGTAGGCTGGCTGGCTTGTCGATCTCGTAGCACTAGGTCGCCAACCTGGAAGGTTCGCGGGCGAGTTCTGCGGTCGCGGTATCTTTTCACCGCCTGCTGGTACTCAACCATTCGTGCACTAGCGGCTTCCCTTCTTTCCTCTAGAAAATTTTTCTCAATCTGCAGGTTCTCTTCATACGCTGCGTCCGAGTAGGTGCGAACCCGGTGGGTGGGTTCGACCACTTCGACTGGAAACTTGGCCTCAAAGCCGTATGCGAGCGAGAACGGACTCTCTCCCGTCGCTCGCCGCTGGGTAGTGCGATAAGCCCATAGGACTCGATCAAGCTCGTCCGCCCAGTTTCCTCGGACGTCCTCGAGTTTCTTCCGGATCCCATCGACCAAGGTTCGATTCACATTCTCAACCTGCCCATTTGCTTGGGGGTAGGCCACCGACACCTTGGTATGCTTGATACCGTGTCGGCGGCAGAATTCGGCGAATGCCTGGCAGTCAAACTGTCGCCCGTAATCGCTGACGATGTGTTCGGGCAAACCGAAGCGACAGATCACCTTTTTCCACAGAAAACGTCGACACTGGTACTCGGTGATGGTAGCCAGGGGCTCCGCCTCGACCCACTTGGTGAAGTAATCGATGGCCACGACGCAAAACTTCAATCCTCCCGGGGCGATGGGTAATGGTCCCAACAGGTCTATTCCCCATTTGGCGAAGGGAATGGCAGTGGTGACCGGTGTATAGAAGGTGGCTGGCCGAGTGTCTTTCCTGGCGAATGCCTGACATACGCTGCATTTGGACATCCGTTCGATACAGTCTCGCATCATGGTCGGCCAGTAATACCCTTGAACGACCAATTTTCGGGCGAGCGTGTGAGTACCCTGGTGCGCAGCACAAATGCCTCTATGAGCTTCATCCATTACCTTCTCGGCCTCAGGCCTAAGTAGGCATTTCAGCAGGGGTCCTCCGAACGACTGTTGGCACTCGGTAGTCCAAGTGAATCCCTCTTTCTTCTTCATGGCTTCGAAGAAAGGCACGGTTTTATCCGCCGATTTGCTCAGGAAACGGCTGAGAGCAGCCAGTCGTCCGGTCAAGCGTTGTAGGTCCTTGATAGTAGTAGGAGGCTGCATGTCGAGGATGGCTTGTACTTTCTTTGGGTTAGGCTCAATGCCTCGCTTGGTGACCATGTAGCCCAAAAACTTACCACCCTGGACAGCGAATGCACACTTCTTGGGGTTCAACCGGAGGTTGTACTTTATCATTACTTTAAAGCAGTCGGCTAAATCTTCCGCGTGCTTGTCCTCCTCTCGACTCTTGACGAGCATGTCGTCGACGTATGCGGCCATCGATTTTCCTAGCAGGTGGTGGAACAACCGGGCGACCATTCGGGTGTACGTAGCCCCAGCATTTTTGAGTCCGAATGGCATGACTCGATAGCAATAAACTCCGTCCGGAGTTAGGAAGGCGGTCTTCTCCTCGTCCGCCGGGTGCATGAATATTTGATGGTACCCTCTGAAGGCGTCCATGAAACTGAGCAGCGCCGACCCGGCCGTCTCGTCGACTAACTGGTCGATTCGGGGCAGAGGAAACGGATCTTTTGGGCATGCTTTGTTAAGATCAGTGTAGTCTACACACATTCGCCACGTCGGGGGTTTGGGCACGAGGACCACGTTAGCCAACCATTCCGGGTACTTAACCTCACGGACGTGCCCGGCTGCTAGCAGCGTGCTAACTTCTTTTTTCACAAACTCCCTCCGGTCGTTGGCCAAGTACCGTTTCTTTTGCACGACCGGCCGGTGCTCTGGGTCTACGGCGAGTCGATGCGATATGATCGATCGATCCACGCCGGGCATATCTTCTGGGCCCCAGGCGAAAACCAGCCGGTGCTCTTGGAGCACTTTTACGATTTCCCCCTTTAACTTCTCCGAAAGGCCGACTCCAATTCTCACTCGCCTGCTCGGCTGTGCTGGGTCAATCTCAATTTCCTCTAGCTCGACGGCCGGCTCTAGGCGAGGTATCACTGTTTTCTTAGGGGGCCTCTCGGTGATCTCGTGGACCTGCATCCCACGCTTGCCCATTCCTCTACATGCTTGTAGATAGCAGTCGCGGGCGACCTTGCGGTCACAACGCACCGTTCCTATTCCGCTCGGCGTTCGAAATTTTAGGCATAGATGTTCGATTGAGATCAGGGCCCCGAGGTCTTCCAAACCCGGGCGGCCGAGTATGGCGTTGTGTGAGCAAGCTAGATCGACCACGATAAACTTCATGCTCAGCTTTTTGTACATCCGGATAGCTGCCGATCTCCACAGGGAGAGTGATGGACCCTTCCGCCTCCACCGAGTCCCCGGTGAAGCCGGCGAGAGGGGTGTTCACTGGTCTGAGCTGTTCTCGGGTCAGCCCCATCTTGGTAAAGGTCTCTAGGTACAGTACGTTGACGTTGCTCTCGGTGTCGACCAGGATTCGGCGAACGACCACACCGTTGATGTCCATGGCGATGACCAACGCGTCTCGATGCGGGGTTTCCCCGGCTGGCAGGTCCTTATCGGTGAACATGATGGGCTCCCGGCATATCTTTTTGGAGCTCTCCTCTCGGCCATAGACTGTTCCGACATATAGTTGCCGAGCCCAGGCTTTTCGGGTGTTCGCAGAATCGCCGCCCTCTGGCCCACCAACTATCATGTTAATGACTGGTTTCTGGCGCCATTGGGCTTCGTCCTCCTCAGAGGCCGGCTGCTTGCCTCGGCTGTTTTCTGCGTCGGCGGAAAGCCCCTCGTCTCCTCGACTGGTCGACCTTCGCTTCCATTGGTTAGGGGGCGGTGTCCCTTGCTGGATGATCCCCTCCATGATCTTCTTTAGATAGAAGCATTCTTCCGTGCTGTGAGTATAAGATTTGTGATAGCGACAATATTTAGAAGTCTTACCAGTATCCTCATCCGCTGCACGGTCGTCAATCGGCGGAGGCGGAGGCGGGGCGACCGCTTGTACTTCGTGGACCGGTCGCTCTGGAACCGGTCGATAGGTGTGAACGACGGGGCGGTCATACGGTCGCCTGACCTCGGGTCGCCGGGCTACATCCGAGCGCCTTTTTCTCGTCTCGGCCCGCGTCCTTTTTCCGCTGGCGGACCCACCGACCTCGCGCTGCCGTTTATGCTTCATAGCCTGCTCTGTGTTGGCCCTCTTGTTGGCCATCTGGATAGCTTCCGCGTATGTCGCCGGGCGGTTGTCCCTTAGGTCTCGATACAGCTGTCCAGACCGCAAAGATTCAATGAAGAAGGTGAGCGCTGTTTGGTCCTCCACTTCTTCTATCGACTGGATCTCCTTTTGCCAGCGAGCTAGATAGGCTTTTAAGGACTCGCCCTCATCCTGATGGATGTCGCCTAAGTGTGTCAGATCCTTCTGTGGCTTGATGTTAGCGGCATAGTGGCTCATGAAGCGGTCTGCCAACTCCTTGAGGCTGTGAATCGACCTTGGGGGCTGTCCTACAAGCCACCTTTGGGCGGACCCCTTCAGCGTGGGTAAGAAGGCACGGCACATGACCGGATCCCGTACTCCTAAGACTTGCATCTTAGCTTGGTAACTCAGTAGATGTTCTCGCGGATCGCCCGACCCATCGAACGTGGCTTGCTCCAGGAACTTGAAGTCGCCCGGTAACTTAAAGGCCATGATCTCGGCGGAGAAGGGTAACGCGGTTAGCAGTGCTCGGCCGGGGGCCTTGGTTCTTCCTTCTACCTGTTCTTTCAGATTTCTTACCTCCTGGGCTAGGTTGGCCACTTCGACCCTTTCTTGGGTGTGGTTTCCTGTCGATTCCGTGCTTTCGCCAACCTCTGACTCGGCGGGTTGGTCATGGTCTCGGGCGGGCTGCTCCACGCGGCGAGCCACCGTCCGGCCTTTCCCCGCACGGTTACACTCACGTGCGCTCTGCCGACCGTGAGTTTCTACCGGAGCACGGAGGGGTTCTCTTCGTCCCAGCCGTTCTCTCGCCGACCGTTGCTCGACACCAGGGCCTAGCCGAGAATGAACGGACTGGACGGGTTGACTCACCGCCCGGCGGGTTGATTGTCGATTGTCCGGCCTTCGCGGCGGTGGGGGGTCTTGTTGCGGTATCCGAGTAGCGGATTGCTCCTGTATTCCCCGACTTGCCTCGGCGAAAGCGCGTCCTATTGCGTGTAGTTGATCCGGGGTGAGTGGTACCGCAGTCGGCTGTGGATTTACCTGTGGTGTTGGTGGCGGTGTTGCGTCATCTTCCCGGCTTCGGGTGCTTCTTCGATTCAATTGATCTCTTAGGTCGGCTCCTAGCCAATTGCGTTGGCTCAATTGCTCTTGGCTTCCTGTCATGGTAAAGTCTTTCAATTCCTCACGACCAAGACTCTTCTCGATGATCTCTCGGACTCGCTTTGCTCAGAAGGCACGCGACTCTTTGTTTCGATCCCCACAGACGGCGCCAGTGATGGTTTTTGGGTTTTCGGGCCCAAGGAGGTCCAACACAACCTTAAGCTGGAGGATACACCTTTCACAAAAAGTCTAGATTTTTAGTGAAGTATGATGCTCAATAGTACTTTCTCCTTCCCTCTCCGGGTTTTCGAATCTGACTCTTACAAGGGTGGAGGAGCCCTTTTATAGTGGCTCCTCCTCTACTGACTTAAAGGCCCATGATGGCCGACTTAAAGATTACATTCAATGTATCGAGCCGTTGGGCGACGTTACGGACTCTGCCAACGGCTCTCTCTGGCTAGTAACCGGCAGACCGAGTCCGACTTTTAATGCCTCAACGGCTCCTTGCCTTGACTGCTCTGAAGGCTCCCTCAACGGCTCTCTGGACCGAGTCTTCCCCTGGGCCGGGCCTGGACCGACTCCTCGTCCCCGGTTGGCATTGGGCCGTCCTTCCGGGCTCCGAACTGGGCCTCTCTCTTTGGACCTGGGCCGAGTCCTGGACTCGGCCCATGCATTCTTTGAGCCCGCCTTGCATCAGCCCATTCTTCCCTCTTTGGTCTTTTCTCTCTGGGCCTCTTTTCTTGGGCCGGGGTTCTCACCCCATCATCATAAATCACACATTGAAGATTAGACTTTTTACTGAAAATCAAACCATTTGAGTTCAGAAATCATTCAACAAATAGTAGACACTTCTTTGAGAATCAATCCATTTTTAACGATACTCATTATAACCTAAGTTTTCGAATTTTTGTGTTATATATATACAAATTCTAAATTTCGTGTTTACACCTGTAATTAATTAGTTGATAAGTATATCTATTCCCTTAGCTTAGCTGTTAAAAACTTGTACTACTCTAGTAATTTGTTAACCAACTCATGACTTATCTGGCCCTGTTTGGTAAAATAATAGTTTATATATAGATCAATTTTGACTTATTTGATCACTATTAAGGGGGTGTATTCAATCATGACTTTCATAGAGTTTTAAAGACTTTTATGAACTTTAAAAGTTTGGAGGTATTCGATTCAAACTTTTAGAGACTCTTTAAAAGTTGGGCGGTATTCCATCACGATTTTTAAACAGTCTTTAAAAGTCATGTGGTATTCGATTAAGACTTTTAGAGAGTCTTTAAAAGTTATATGGTATTACAAAAGTTATGAACTTTTGTAGATTTTTTAATTTTAGGACTTTTTTTAGACTTTTCCTTCTCAAATATAAATACTTGAAATCCAACTCTATTAAATATTATTTTTACTTTTTTACTTTTTTTTTTTTGAAAGTTACTGGCTCTATTACATTGTAGTATCTGTTCATATACTTTCTCAACCTACTGAAACACAAAGAACCAATAACGCCTCCATTGAGGCTTGAACTCATAATCTTCCAAATGGAAGTCCAACCCGGATACCATTAGACCACATAGTCCTGGTAAATATTATTTTTACTTCATTATTGATTTTTATTTTTTTCTATGAATTTTTTTATCCCTAACTTTTTCTAATTCTCCTTAAACATGAACAAAGCAAATTTTTCATCGTCAAACTTTAGTATATGTTTCATAATATTCATATAAATACTTATATATTTTGATTTTTATATATTCTTTTTAAGTTTATATTTGTAATATATTTTTTTCCTTTTTTTTAACAACAGGTTACTACGAATAGCGAACTACTGTTCGCAACAACAATTTAATTTGGAGTTGCAAATAGTGGCACCTTGTTGTTGTTCATAGTCTCAAATTGCTATTGCAAATAATAATTCTTTGCGTGATGCCTAGCAATATATATCAAGTATAATTTTTTTTAATATATTATTAATATTAATATTAGATTTTTATTTTTTTATTTTATGAAACCTGTAATTATATTTTTAAATATTTTATTTGATCAATTTTTTAATTATAAATTTTATTGTTCAATATTGTTATGAATTTCTTATGAAATAGTTTTTTTTTTGTTGATGTTTATTAATAATATATATAAGTAATTAGCATATAAGTCTCAGTATACTATGTATAAAAATAATAATGTTGAGAATGCTGATGTGGGTGAAGAACTATATAATAAGAAGAATTTTATGATATATTATAAATGTTTTGTAAGGAAATTATAAATGATAAGAATCAAAATCATTGAAAGTTTGTAAGGATATATATTCAATTTAGAATTTCAATGAATTTTGTAGACTTTTTAAAATAAGAAGTTGATAAAAGTCTATCAACGTTTTTTTTTTATATAGACTTTTATAGTCTTATAAAGTTTTAAAAATTTTTGAACGACTCTACGAAAGTCAATCAAAGTTTATTAAAATCTATCATTTTAAAAGTCGTTAAAACTTTACAAAAGTCCTGATTGAATACACCCCCCTCAGTTTTTTATTTATTTATTTTTTAATGCTACTGACTCTATTACAAGTCACTATTACATTATAGTATCTATTCAAATATACTTTCTCAACCTAATGAAGCACAAAGAATCAACAACGCCTCCTCCACTGAAGCTAGATCTCATGACTCCCACATTGGAGAAGTCACTATATGCCATCTTATTTGGTTAAAAAATCAATATAAGTGTTTGGTTAATTAGCTTTTTGTAATTACTCCAAAATGGTAAAATTCAAAAAGCTGCTCAAATCAACTTTTTCAATTAGTTTTTTTTAGAAAGGAAATTATATCAAACAACTATCAGCTAACAGCTAATTTATCAAACATCTTTCTACAATCAGCTAATGTTATCAACTAGTTATACCTTCTAATTAACTCAATCAGCTATCATTAAATATCCATTTACTAAATTGGGCCTAATCTTCTAATAACTAATGTACTTTCCGACCTAAGATGAAGCTGTATATATATGTATTCCACAATTATTTACATATACATAAGTAAAACTTTCATGGTATTGGGATTGAAGAAAGAAAAGAAAATGAATGAAAACTGTATCCTTTATAAATCAGTCAGGACATGTCAAAGATTAGTACGAAGAAAGATGAGAATACGTGTGGTATTACTCATATACATATTCTTATAGTCCCACTTTTGATTCAATCTGAATCGTTGGATAGCATCTTCAGTCTCACTCACAGCTCCTATATATAGATGATAATTCGTCGTTCACTACTCACTACCAATTCCTACTTGTATACGCTAATTAAGCTACCTTTGTTAGTCAATCCTTTGTTTTTTCCTTTTTCCCATCAAAACCATCCATCTTTCTCCCTCTAGCTCTTCCATGGACGGCAGTGGTGGTAGTGGTTACCGGCCGTTTTCCATCAACTTCCCGAACCCCATCCTCCCACCTTTCCCACCGGTGATTGTTCACCGAAGATACAATCATCAAGAGATTCTTCCCTTCCCTGAGAGCTTTGGTTCTTCTTCGTTCCATGGCGGCGCAAGCAGTACTAACAGCCGGCTGCCAGCGGCCGATGCCGCGACAGCGTCTTGGCTGAGTCATCTCCAGAACGTGAACTTTGGGGGGAGCTGTGGCAGCCTTCCCCACGGACTGGTGGCGCCGCCGCCGGCGAGCTGGGGTAACCAGAACCGGGAAAATGCATTCGCCGCTGGCAGTCTGGAAGAAACAAGGAGAGAGAAAGAACATGATGAGCGCCGCTCCTCTAATGGCGTCGCCTTCATCAAGGGCCAGTGGACTGAAGAAGAAGATAGGTAAGTGATAAACAACTGATCACGTCATCAGTCAATTAATTTTTTTTATTTTATTTTTTTACTATGATCGATGTTTCACTCACAACCATTCGACATGTGTGAAGGCTTCTGATTAGGTTGGTGAACGAGCACGGAGATAGGCGATGGAGTGTGATCGCCACCAAGATTGTCGGCCGTGCCGGAAAACAGTGCAGAGAGAGGTGGCATAACCACCTTCGTCCTGATATTAAGGTTTTGTCTGAAACCTAGTTTTTTGTCCTGTCGATAATTTATGCTTTATTTATCCAAAACACAAGCCTTAATCTGATGAATTTCATATAGATTTCATCAATCCCTCCTAACAATGGAGATTTCAGAAATCCATTCATTAAATTTTTTTTTTCATTAATTACTCTAAATTTCTTCACCATTCAATGTATTTTTTTTCCTTAAATAAAAATTATTTCTTTTTTTCGTGTTTAATTAAAGATATCTGCTTTTCGCCGGATTTTGATCGTCTTTTTGCAGAAGGAATCGTGGAATGAGGGAGACGAGAGGCTGTTGGTGGCAGTGCATGAGCAGCTGGGA